ATTGGAATAAGAAGGTGTGTATAAGAAAAAAGAATGAGACTTATTGTGTCAACTCATGAGGTTTGAGTCATAAGGTTATCTTATTTGGATTTTGTGTTAGCTCAACGAGTTATAAAGTTATCTTATTAAGATACTGAGGTGACACAATGAAAATTGAGTATTCTCAATAGTGGATTGTACTTGAATTTTAGTTGTCCCACATTGGTTTAGAATTGAAAAATTGACCTTATTTTTGCAAAACAAATCTTATATTGTGTTAGCTCAACGAGTCATAAAGTTATCTTATTAGGATATTGATGTGACACAATGAAAATTGAGTATTCTCAAATGGTGGATTGTACTTGAATTTTAGTTGTCCCATATTGGTGAAGAATTGAAAGATTTGAACAGAATGAAGTGTATAAGAAAGCGGATTGGATGTCTTTGTGTCAAATAATGAGGTTTGCCTTATTTTTAATGATTCTCTTTGAAATCTATAACCATGGTTATAAACCAAACCAACCAAATGATAAAAATTATAGTGCAAAATTAATTATATTATTATAAAAAAAGTGGATTGGATGTCTTTGTGTCAAATAATGAGGTTTGCCTTATAAGTTTGTCTTATTTTGAATGATTCTTTTTGAAATCTATAACCATGGTTAGAACCAAACTAACCAAATGATAAAAATTATAGTGCAAAATTAATTATATTATATTATTATATCTTTATATATATATAAGTAAAACCTTCGGGTTATGAGGTGGCACCATGAGAATTATAAAAGAAAAACCTTGGGGGTATTGAGGTGGTACAATGAGAATTGAGTATTCTCAAATGGTGAATTGTGGTTGAGTTTTAGTTGTCCCACATTGATGAAGAATTGAAAGATTTGAACAAAGTGAAGTGTATAAAAAGATGGAATGGTGCCTTTGTGTCGATTAATGAGGTTTGTCTCTTAGGGTTGTTTTACTTTGGATGACCTCTTTGAAATCTATAACCATGGTTGGGATCAAAACCAACCAAATAGAAGAAATATTTATCTTTATATATACATAAAAGAAAACTTTGGGTATTGAGGTGCCATCATGAGAATTGCGTATTCTCAAATGGTGAATTGTTGTTGAGTTTTAGTTGTCCCACATTGATGAAGAGTTAAAAATTTTGAAGAAAGTAAGGTGTATAAGAAACCAACTAAATGGTAAAAATTATAGTGCAAATATGAAAGTGAAACCAATGATGATAATTTGACAACATGAGGTAATTATTTATTTGTCATCTTGATGTTAATACTATCACGGTTTGACACACCCCTCTAATTACAATTCAAACATTATATCTGATATGTGGGTCATCGACCCCACTTGATATTAATTTTATTTTTTATCAGAAAAATCCATTTTCTTAGCTTGATGATCTGGTTCTTCATGCATCGTATTGGACTTCCACTATTGTTGCTACAACTTACGCACTCCTTTAATTTCCACTAGAAATATTATAGAACGTTTCTTTGTCGTAACTTCAAAAATGAGATTTCAATTAAATTTGTTATAAAATTAAAATCGTGATTTTGTCACCTTAGATGAGATTTCAATTAAAACTGTGACTTCTAATTAGACAAATTACTAACATTAGTCAAACATTTGTAGAGTACTTTGCAACACGATTCTCAAGCATAGTTAGATAACTTAAATTAGCATATGGTTCTAAGATTGTTATCAAATCCTTTTAAAAACTTTTAATGTTAACGAGTAGTTGTCATTCACATTTGTCTCAATTTTTTTAGAATAATACTTCAAATTTAGTCTATAACATTTCTTTTGAAGATGATATTATCGCTATCGCTATCGCGCGGTTAGAAAACTAGTTATAATAATCACAAAACGATACACATGTTTAGATTCTTTCTTTAGAGGAAGCATACATGTTCTTTGTGTGCGACCCTTTAGGTTTACATGGCTCGTTGACAGTGTATCTGGGTGACACGTGTCGTGGGTATAACATACAACTTACAATTTTGAAAATTCAATAACGATACAAGCCTCGCTTAGTAGAGTTGGTTTGCATTACTTTTCCCCTACCCTATGTGCAAATTTGAATCACATTTGGGTTATTTTCTTAATTTTCGTTTTTAATTTCAGATTTGTTATGTTTCTAAAAAAATTACAATAAAAGATTCGAACAAGTACTTCACATATGTGAACCGAAAAACTGATCAATAAATCAACCATTTTATGAAAATATCCCTGTCTTCTTTCTTACAGTTAAATAATATCACCATTTGAAAAAATTTATTGATTCACTTCTTTTCTTGACATCAGATATGGTAAATAATAAAAAAAATAAAAAAAAATATAAAACTAACTATTTGACTAAAATAATGTAATAATAATTTAAATTTATAGTTGTTGGTAGATTATGGCACATGGACAAAATCTATCTATAATTTCCTTTGATTTTAATTTGATTTTAAAATGCTAAATATTATGTCATGTTTTATTAATTATTTTTTCTGATTTTAAAATTCGTTTTTTTAACGTATTTATAATTATTATTATTTTCTATTTTCTTCCATTATTTCTAACTTTATTTTATTTATTTATAAATTTTCTCCTTTATTTCTTTTTCTCAATTTCGCTTTCATTTCATGATTCATTTTCTCGTTCATTTAATCTTGTTTTATCGATTCACAAATATCTGATTTTAATAAAAGAAAATAACATATAGAACTAATATAATCAGTATATTATAACTGATAATGTTTCTTGCATATAATTGATAAACTTTTTTTTGATTAACCTGAATATTCAACCCGCTATGCGAGTCGACTAATCCCAGGGCGACCACGTGCTTTGCAGATAGCCCGGAGTCACCGCATTTGAATCTCCGTGGTCACAAGGGGATTTTTATTTTTTCTTGGATTTGAACTTGAGACTTCCTGGTACTTTTGACATTTGGAGCCAAGCTCAAACCAATCAGACACCACCCTTATGATTATAATTGATAAACTTATTGATCATGCATATAAATAACATATTTACAGTTGTTTGATAATTCAAGTGATGACACCAACAAAATATCATACCGTAGATTTTCTTTCTAAACTTTTAGCCACTTGTTTCTAATAAAACACTGTGTCCAAGCATTGAAATCTCGTCAAAATTTAATAGATATGGTTCATTCTCTTGGTCACATAATTTTTAATAAAAGATCGGTGAATAGCTCAAGCAGGAAGATCCGTAGAGTTGTATTTTAGTGTGATCGTGGAGTGCTACATACAAGGTACATTTGTACGATTCAATATTGTAGGTTCTAACCGTCGCAAGTAGTATGATGCGCTTACTGCTCTGATCAAATCCGCCACCGTAGTACAAACACGTTGTTATTGCAATTGGACATGCTAATAATAATGATTATGTCAACGTAGGATTAAGGGTATTCATTACTTATTGTTATGTCACAATTGGTTAACTTCATATGTGATTGCACAACAACATGGGTTACCTCATATATGAATTGATTTGACAATTACGGTAAAAAAATTAAGGGGTTGTTTGTTTACTTCTTAATACTTCCATTAAGAGGCAGTCTCTGAATCGTTAAGAGGTGAATCTTGTTTGCCAAAAAAAAAATCTGCCTCTTAAGGTTCTAAACCCTCTAAATGATTTTGTATCATGAGTCTCTCTTATCCTAATTTCGTTGTAAATAATTACCAAATAATTATATTTTATTTTGCACTATATCATGTAAGTCTCTTAATCATTCTGACTACTTAATCATTCTACATTAAACCATTCAGCAACTGTCAAACAGCTCCTAAGTCGAAATTGTTCCATTGATAATGTTATATTAGAATGACTGACGATGTAATTTGAATAATGTATGTTTTAATCTTATTATAAGTTAATATATGTTACATTGATTTTACTTTTTTTTTTTCTTAATGTTTTTAGTTATTATATTTATCAAATATAAAAAAAATTAAAATATCTTATTTTTGTCTTAAGGTAAATTGCATGAAAAAGTAACGTACTTTAACTTGATTTCTATTTTGGGTAATGTACTTTCAAAGCTTCCATTTTTGTACCTACTATGTAAAGTTTTAAACATTTAAGTACCCGGATAATGGTTTGAAACATTAACTAGTTACCATGCTGATGTGGCGAGTGATGTGATGAAATTGAGTTGAATAGCAAATAATACTGAGGGGCTGTTTACCAAATTTTCTATTAAGTCCTGTATGGATAAATTTGTCTGTCTGGATAAATTTGGCTGTCTGGATAAATTTAGGTTGCTGTTTACTTTTCTATCTGAATCAACAGTCTGAATAACAGAAATGACCAATTTACCCCTGAGTATTAACTATGGGCTGTTTAGTATATTGTTGTTCATTTTTTTAAGGCATGACTGTATTTCTGAAAAATAAAATATTAAAATAACAAAACATAAATTCATAAATCCAAGTTCAAACACAAAGTAGCCAAGTTCAAATACAAGTTGAAACACAAAAATCCAAGTTCAAACATTATTGACCAAACTATTTGCAATTTCATCTCTCAAAGTAGCCATATATTGAGTGCTATTAGCACCCCATTGTGAAATGTCCAATTCTTCTTCTCCATTTCCTTCGACTTCTTCTTCGTTGTTAAATATACTATCCTCATTGCACTCCATAAACAACTGGTCTTGAATATTATATTTTCTGATGAAATTATGTATCGCAAAGCAAGCAATTACCACATTTCTTTGTGTTGTAAATGGAAAGGGAGCCATCTGCTTTAAGATCGGAAATCTCGCTTTCAAGACACCGTAAGCACGTTCAATAACATTTCTGAGTTGGGCATGTGCATGATTAAACCTTTCTTCTTTCGTCAAAGCGCGTCGACGTCGAAAATCTGCCAACCAATACCTTGTGTTACGATATGGAGCCAAAAATCCACGAGCATTGGCGTACGCAGCATCACAAAGATAATATTTATCTGAAAACCACCCACATCAATCATATAATATAGAAATAAAAAAACAAATAACAAATTGAGAATTTATACCTTGTGGTGGAAAGGGAAAACCGGATCTTGGGTTAAAAGCAACTTCCCTAAGTATTCTAGAATCATGCGCTATGCCTTCCCATCCAGCCCAAACAAAAGTGAATATCATGTTGAAATCACAAATTCCTAGAACATTTTGATAGCATCGACCGCCTCCTCTTCCCCTGTAAGCAGTTTGATGACTAGCCGGCACAATTGCATGTATAAGGGTACCATCTAGAGCACCTATTGCACCCTTCATTAACAGAAAAAAGAATAAATACAGTATATGTGTGTGTGTGTGTTTATATAAAACTTTAAAACGTCAATAATAAGTCTTACCGGAAATATTTCTCTCAAACGTCTTTGATGACTCGACGTATTTGAAGTTGTATCAGAAGTTGTTGGCACCACTATTTCTCTTGCGAATTCCATCATACCCAGTAAAACTTCATGGAAACAAACATGAACAGTTCTTGTGGAGCGTTGAAATCTACGTTTAATTACTCTGTAACGCTCGTTATGGCCGATCATCATCAAAAACATTGCCATTTTCTCTTCTACACTAACATATCTACTATCTTTCACCCAATTTCTTTGTCTAAAATGATTGCATAACAGTATATACGCTTCACGTGAGAGGCGCATCAACTCTTGACATTGCGTACTAGGTCCAGTTAATAGCTCTTGGGTGTACGCATATCCGCTCAGTGCTGAAGTATTATCAGGCATTCTTTCTATTCTTTCCGAAACATTTCTTCGCCGTTTTACATATATATATATTAGGACTACGATCATCATTTCTTCCTCAAAAGTCAACATATCTATTCAAAGAAACATATATTATAAATCCAAACAAAACATTATAAATCTAAAAAGAAATGCATAAAATAACCATGCTTATCATAAATCCATAGCCACATACATGTCATAAATCCAAAAAACATCATATGTCCAACAAAACGTGGCACCAAATTGTCATAAAAAAAAACCCACAAGTTAGCACACAAAAGTTCTATAAATGTTCTAAAAACGTGGCACTAATCTTTACTGATATCCTTGCTTTGCCCCAACTGTTCTCACCCATTCTCTTGCAATTTCAGACGGTATTGTCATCCAAGCTTCTCTGTTACGGTTGTCCGTAAGAAGTGAAAAGGCAATACGGTACAACGGATCATCTTTTGCCCACCCAAGCTCGTTCAATTTTTTAAGGCATGACTCATAACTAAAAAGTTCAGGGTTCCCATACTTCGATGCCATAGTATCTAAAAATTTTATAAGCTTTTCATCAAGCTCCGAATTCGTTGCCATAGTCTTTTTACGCTTCTGTTTCTCAACCGGAGCACGGGATGAAACGGGTGTTGACGACACAGGAGCTTGATCACTTGAGACATTGATCTCTTCCTCAATGACAACAAATGGCTCAGTAGTTGGCAAAGGATCTTTTGACGACGGTCCATGGCCTCCAATACCCGTGGACATACCACCCTCAAATAATCGCGCACAAAGGTCGGGATATGGTAGACTTGTAGTCCTCAATGATTCGACATACCTATTGGTCTGTGTTAAAGAAACATATATAAATATACAAATAAAATAAAAAAAATCGAAATAAAACAAGATCTAAAGTTAGAAAACGACCTCTATCTCCAAGTCCCATTCCTCAGGGGTCAAGTTAAACGTGTTTGTTGAAGGGTCATAAACGTTGCCGGTTTTGTTCTTTAATTTCAACCAAGCACCATATTTGCCTTTCAAGTAGTCAAAGTGGTTCCGCATTTGCTTTCGATCGACCACAAAATTATGTGTGCTTTTCAAAGTATCGGCAACTTTCTTCCACGAAAGTGCCTTCAAGCTAGAACCCTCTTTCCCATTTAACCCAACCTCTAGAATACAACTTTCTAAAAAGGTTTTGACAATGTTGGGATCCTTCCAACTAATCCTAACCCTTTTTTGTTGTTGGGTTTCACCCATTTGTTCCATATACCTATAACAAACCCAAATCAACAGTGGAAGGATATTAACAAGCTGCTGTTATACAAACCATGTTAAACAAACCCAAAATCATATACTGGTTTAACCCTCCGAGCAGCACACAGAAAATTTTACCAAGCAGCAAACAATATACTGGTTTAAGCATCAAACAATATACCGAGCATGACACATAGCAGCAAACAGAGCATACAAAATAAATCTAGCAGCAAGACAGAATCGAACTGAGCATACAAAAATAATCGAGCAGCAAGAAGGGAAAAACTTGGTAAACAGGCTGTTAGTGGTGATACAGGAGAGCTTGAGTATCTTCTTCTTCAAACAAATCAAAACTCCATTGCTAATGCCTGTAAACTCATCTCCAGCGCTCCTTCAAAATTAAGGTATATATATATATATATTTCTAAACTGATTGCTTCTTCTTATTGTTATATATATATATATATATATATATATATTGTGTATTATTGCATGAATTGAAGTAAATCGAGCAGCAAAATCGAAATACAAAATCGAGCAGCAAAATCAAAATCGAGCAGCAAAATCGAAATACAAAATCGAAATACAAAATCGAACAAAGCATACAAACCGAGCGAGAAGATGATAGCATCAAAATCGAAATACATAATAGCAGCAAAATCGAGCAGCAAAATCGATCGAATCGAACATAATAGCATCAAAATCGAACATAATCGGAAGCAATATCAGCAACATAGGAGAAAAGTTACCTTAGGAGATGAGAAGATTGGATAAGAGCAGCAAAATCGGAAGCAATATCAGACCACAATCGCCTATTAGGGTTTTGGAGGAGGAGCGACCTGTTGACAGAAAAGAGACCGTGAGTTTTACAAGGGTAGGTATGTCATTTTTGTTGGCTTAACGTGGACAAGTGCCTAGAATGGACTGTGCGAATAAGCCCCTGTCTGGGCGAATAAGCTCCAAGTAAACAGCCTCAAATGGCTGTGCGAATAAGCCCGTTTATCCGGTAAGCTCATTAAGTCACAAGTAAACAGGCCCTGAGTTGGATACCACATCACCATGGTAACCGGTTATTGCATCAACCGGTTACCTGAGTACTTAAATGTTTAAAACTTTACATTTTAGATACTAAAATGAAAGTTTTGAAAGTACGTTATCTAAATAAGAATCAAATTAAAATATGTTATTTTTTCATGTAAATTATCCTGTCTTATGGATAAATAATATGTCATTTTGTTTCTGTTTTGTGGTTAATATTATTATTATTATTATTGTTAATCAAATGTTTTTAGAAGATATTATAAAACCCAAAAAAAATTCGATCAACAAATAATTTTATTTTTTATTTTAATTCCTTTTTTTTGGATTATAATATATATATATATATATATAATAAAGAAATTAAAAAATTTTTGAAAATCGGATTAATAGTGGAAGAAAAGTTCAAAATATGGGTGAAAAGTGCAAATTTGACCAAAGCATTGAAGTCAGGGACCGAATGTAATTTTCTGATAGTCGAGGGGTTACGTCAGACGTTAACAGGTACAAACCAGAATGACATGTTCTGTAAATATGTCAGATTCTGAATTTTTGAAAGGAATGAAACGATCGAGCTTTGAAGCCTCTTATTGGCTTCCTTAATCAACCAACAAGCCAAAAAATTACAAAGATAAATAGCCAATGTTCTCCTCTACATTTTTCGTTCAAGAAGTTTGAGCTTCCGTTGAGAATTGAGAGAGAAATCGGAGCTCGAAAGTCTCCATCCAAAATCTCCGTTTATTGAAGATTAGAGGTAAAATACTCGACTAAAATTCATGTTCTTTATATGATTAGCTTTGTTTTTTTATCCTTCTGTGAAACCCTAGTAGCCTTATGTTCCAGATTTCGTGTTTTATGGTTCGATTTTGAGGTTTAAAGTTTCTTTCGGTTTAGTTTAAAACTAAAACTTTAAGTAAGAAAATGGAACTCGTTTCTTGACGAAAAATTGTGTTCGGTATGTCAAAATATTGGTAAAAATATTAACAAAGTTTTGGTACAAAAAGAATGAAGAAAAAAGATCAAAAAATGAGTCAACTTTGAGCTCAAAAACACAAAAAAAGTGGAGCTGTTGAATCTAGGTTGCGACCGCATCGGATCGATCCCAGATCCGACCCATAAACCAAAGGATCCGACCGTCAAAAAAGTAAAATAGAAATTTGCTAAGGAGCAAACTCGAACTTGCGACCTTAGTCTGGTGAGGGTGTCTCCTCACCAAACCGCTACCAAATCATTTTATGCTATTTAGAACATTTAAGATTAGAAATTTTTTATATTTGGTAATTAACTTATTTTTTTAATAAATTCTATAATAACCCCTAGAGTTTAGAAAACAAGATTAGAACATTTATGGATGATGAGACCTCCAGGTCATTCCAGTATTCAGCGATCAAAGGAAGCTTGCTTAGCACGATTGTTGTTGTCTTGTCCTTATGCACACAAAAAACAAACCCATACCCTTACAAAAGTTAGTATGGTACGGAGCCGATTAGTCGACTCTTTGTCCACCAACTTTAGGCAAGGATATCTGCTCAGAAATAGTGGTTTTGTACTATTCACTGTAGCAAATGACAAGTCTTCCTCTTAAGGTTTGACACGCACTCTAAMCCTACCATATTGCATTAAATGATCATTTAATGCACTGGGTATAAATAGAAGTGTTTCTTCTCCATGCAGAGAGCGCGCATCTCTCTCTAACCTTATTCTTACTTCAAGCATCTTCAAGCTTAAGTAAATGATCTTTCTTTTAGCAATATCTTTTCTTGTATTTGCTAAAGCTCTATGTGTAACCAAAGATTATTTAGATAGGTTTTCATTACCTTAACTTTCCGCAAACAGTCTTGTAAAATTTGTATTGATCTTCTCTATCAATATATATTTTAAATTTGAAAATACTGTGTTTGTATTCATCCCCCCCCCCCTTCTACAAACTGTTTCTCTTCTTGTAGACCCTTACGGAACCAACAGAGTTTTACTTAGAAAAATCTTGCATCTATTTGTATCCAAGACTAGAATGTGTTCAACAAAATCAAAGACTAATTAAAGTGAGGCAAAGATCGTCGCAAAGTGGATTGGTTTGTCATCTAATCAAAAATAAAGATCAATACAAGATAAATTCAATTAATAGTATGACAAATACTAGTGCTGGCATCCGAATTTTGAAGTAGAAACTTGGCTAGCAAGTTTGGTTCAGAAACTCTCTTACTTCCTTTCTTGGTATGAGAACATGCACAACGTGTCAACCTAAGTACAAAAGCACCAATACATTGGTGCTTTACTTACTTTATTGTTCCCTTGGCAGATCTAAGGATGGAGTAAGTTAACAAAGTGTTTACATCAAACTCAATGGTTGAAATGAAGAATAGTTAGACATACATTCGAGTTGGACAATAAACATTTAACATAAAGATGGCTATAAAATGTCACCCCCCTTGCCATTCGATGCAACTGACCCGTTGTGAAAGAACATCCCTGAGAATGTTTTTGAAGTAAATTCGGTGTCATCCTCTGAAGAACTTCCTTAGTTCTTCGAATCTGAAAGAGTACCTCCTTCCCCATCTCTTTTAATTTAGTAAATTTTTCAGATTCAAATTGTTTAGGATCACATGTCTTACCTTCCTAACTTTCACAACAAATATGTAATTCTTTATTTTTATACAAAATATAGAAGACATAATTAAAAAGTGAAAATTTGTTTGTATTAAACCTCTTTTCTATAAACACTTCAT